ACCTGCGAGCCGCGGGGCACCTGCCGCGCCAGCGCCGCCCTCCCGGAAACGCCGGCGCAGCGCCCGCCCCTGCCCCGACCCCGACTACTGCCTTGCAGACTCGAGACCCCGACAGCTGTCCCGCTGTCACCGCCTCCGGGCGCTGCCCTGGCGGCTGGACCCCCGGCGGGCCGAGCGTCTGTCCCGCAGAGCCCGAGCGAGCAGTGTGGAAGCGACATCCCCCAGGGACCTGGCGGCCTTCCCGGAGCAGGGCCAAGGCTTTGGGGGGCGGCGGTGCAGACACCAGTGTGGCGCCAGCGGCCGCCCTTGCCCGGAGGACCCCGACTGAAGAGGCCAGAAGCGCGTGTAGGAAAAGCCGGCAGCAAACAGACCAGATGTTTTCAGTGGGGGTCTCTAGGGCTGGGGACACTTCGCTCTGGTCTGTCGACACAGTACTGTCCCAGTTTCGGGTTTTCCGTTTTTTGAATAAACATGTGATACTAGAAGGTGGTATTTACTTTTGCACCATCAAGCATTAAGTGCCTGTGTGGGGGCAGAGGGAGGCCCCACTTCGGGAAGCCCCCCCAGCGTCCCTTTGGGGGCACCGCCCTGATTAGGGTTTCACTTGGGGGAGGCCTGAGTGCAGCCCTCCTGCTGGGGGAGGAAATCCCATCTACTTCCCAAGGGTCCCCTCTCCAGCCCATCGGCCTGACACCCACCTGGAAGGCTGGCCTCACCGTCCTGCCCGTGGCGCCGGGAGGCCTCCGCTTCTCAAAGGAAGGGGCATGGGATCCTGCTGAACAACAGCCTGGGCATACAAGACAGGACCTTGACACCTAGAGGGGGGCGGCCCCTGGCACAGGTGCAACGGGGACCTGCCAGGCCGGCTTGCCCAGTCCCAGGTACCAGGTCCCAGGACCAACCGTTATTGTTGGCTGGGGGCTGCCACCGCAGCTGCACCACACCTTCTGGGAGGGGCAGGTGGGGACTGAACCTGGCGGGATTCCGGACAGCCAGCCAAGCCCACGGCTCCAGTACTCCTCACCACTGGGTCCTTTTTGCTGGCCTTGTCCCCGCCAGGCAGAGGACACTTTCAGGAAACCATGTCTCTTCCACAACAAGGTTAAGCTCTCTTCAGCTAGGGGACAGAGGACACTTTCAGGAAACCATGTCTCTTCCACAACAAGGTTAAGCTCTCTTCAGCTAGGACGTCACCCTGCCTCAATATTCCAGACCCCTTCTGACCCATCCTATGTACTGGCAGGAGACAGAGAGCTGTGGGGGTGGGGTGCCAGGAAGGCCCAGCTCAGAGCGCTGGGCCACAGCCCAAGGTGGGGCAGAGCCCGACATTCCCAGGCTCCAGCGCTCAGCTCCAAGAACCTCACCCTCTGAAATCAGCCCCACGCCCCCACTGTGTCACTGCGTGGAGCAGACGGGCAGACACCACCTTTCGTAAACATTTCAGTTTTTATTTAGCAAGGATCTTGGTCCCAGATATTTCCATTGGCTTTCAGAAAGCTGTACCCAAGGCTCAGCCAACTAGGCCTCAGGGCAGAGTGGGAGCACATGTATGGGTCCTGGCCAGGGGTGGGGAAATCCAGGAGGTTCACGCGTACCTGTAGGAGAAAGCCCCAGGCCCAGCAGGCAGGCTACAGAAGCCAGGCCCAACAATGCGACCTGCGCTGTAGAGACACGGGTCACCTGGGGTGGGGGTGGGAGGCAGGCACTGTTCACCATGCCCCCCAAGCAGGGGTGCAGCGGTCACATACAAGTGAAGTAGGCAAAGGCTGAGCTGTGGCATTTATTACATCTGCTTTGGCGAAAATAAATAATTTTCATACACTTTCTTCAGCAAAACATGAAAAGCTGGTGCAAAGTTCTCGGGAGTAACACTGCACTGACAAGGCCGGGCAGGGGCCCGCCCCGAGGGGAGGGACACTCCAGCGCAGCATGTGAGGGGTCAGTGGAGGGAGATCTGCAGCAAAGCCGCCTCTTCGCAGCTGTGTGGGCCCCGTCTCCTCACACCGGACTGGGTAACGGAGAGAGGCTGGGATCTGGTTCGCAGCCAGCCCCAGCGCCCCAACGCTTGGGGCAGGGAATCTGGGGGGCCTGGCCTTCAGCACCAAGACCCCAGGGTGCTGGGGAAGGCCAGACCTGGGGCCCTCAGCAAGGGGGCAGACCTGGCGGGTGCTGCAGGGATGCGGGGTCCGCAGGAGGGGGACTGGTGTGCATACGCAGAGCGTCGGGCGGGAAAGCCACGTTGGTGCAGAAGAGACCCAGCAGCAGCTGACGCTGGCACTCCTCCCACTTGGCTAGTGCGTCCCCCAGTGAGAGGTTGTTGCGCACCCAGCTGGGCAGCGCTTCGCTGTAGGCTGCGCAGGACAGCGGCACCGAGGGCAGTGACTGGGCGCGGCGTAGCTCCACCTGCTCTGACAGCCTTCAGGTGGGAGAGAGAGAGAAGGTTTTAGGCTGAGGGCTGGGTAGACACAGCAGTCAGGGCCGGGTCAGGCGGTCTGGGCCGCCCTGACTGCTGGCTCACCTGGAAGGCAGGTGGCTGCCCAGCTTTCTCTTGGCACGCATCACCAGGTACTGGCAGATGCTGCCTGTCTGCTCCTTCATCCACCGGATGTCCTCAGGGACGTCAGGCAGCCACTCCAGCAAGCTGTGGAGGGGGTGGGAGGCACAATTTCAGGGGCTATGGCTAGGCCCTTATGCCCACCTGTGGGGGCCCTCTCTGTGCCCTGACACGGGCACCTACCCTCCCATGCCCTGGGTGACCATCATTCACAGATGATCCCAAAGTTCTGTCCCCAGCGCCCCCTCTCCCAACCCCCATCCTGCTCCCGCACCGGATGGTGAAGGACACGGCACTCTCCAGCGGCAGAGTGTAGGGCACCATCATGGCCGTGGCCAGACGCACAGGCAGCATGTTGGAGAGTGTGGTCAGCAGGTCCTTGGGCTCCACACAAGCCTCCAGCAGGGCTGCAGGTGGGGTAGGGTGCGGGTGGGATGCTGGCAGCAGGTCGGGGACACAGAGCCCAGGACCTTTCTGCATTTGGGCTTCCAGACAGACCAGCCACTCTCCCCTACCTCCCATCTCCCCCGTCCTCCCCTCGCCCTGGCACACACCCTCATTGAGCCGGGCAGGCAGGTGCTCCAGGATGTGATCTTCCCTGGGCGGCTGCAAGTGACCCTCCATTCGGGCCCTCCCTGAGGCCGCAGCCTCAACGTCTTCCTCTTCGGGGGCGTGGGGGACCTCGGGGGCATGGGGGACCACGGGAGGCAGGGCTAGCAAGGGGTTGGGCTGGTTCAGGAGGCCTGCCAGGGGGGAGGGGCAGTGACAAGACTGGGGATCAGCACGGCTGTGGCCCCTGCCTGCCCGCAGGGGGCAGCAGCGCACAACCGGCCCCATCCACCCCACGGGCCAGAGGCCGCACACGCACCGTTGCGCCGCAGGAAGCGCAGGCCGTCCCTGTAGCCCTGCTTGCACATCTCTCGCAGCACCTGCGGCAGGGGATGAGTAAATTCAAGCAGAGGGAGCCAGACATGGCCTGTTCTGCCCTCTCGAGACGGTGGCGTCGTCCTTGCAACAGCACCTCTGCCCCCCACCACTGGCGGTCTGCCCCTGCGGAGGACTGCAAGCCATGGCACCGTCCTCCAGCCCACCCCCCGCAGGCACTCAGGGAGGGCATACAGGCAGCTTTTTCCCCAGGGCTCAGGGAGGAGAGACTGTGCAGGTCACAGAGCCGCTGCGGCGGGCTCACCATGGGCTCCGGTGGGAAGAGGGCCTTGGAGAGGCGGTAGAGGTTGCGGAGGTTGAACTGGATGCTGGTGTTGGTGACCCGGAGCTCGTGAATGTTGGTGGAGCTGTCCTGTGGGCAGATATCACTCTCGCCCGAGAAGGGGGACACTGTGATGGTGTTCTTAAGCTCATAGAGCGGCAGGTTGTCTGAAATACCGCCATCCACATAGCGCTTCCGCGCCAAAACGCAGACACACAGTCACATGATGAGGAGCCTGCAGGACGTGCCGGCCTCCCCATCCCGCCACTGAGGGCCCCCACCCAGTGGCTATTTCACTAGGGCCTTTTACCCACTGGGCACTGGCCACGGGCTGGCCAGGACACTGAGCAGCCACAGTGGGGGAAGAGGGTGGACAGCCACAGGAAGCGGGCACCTCCACCTTGCTGGGGCTGGACTGCCTCTTGAGCAACATGGGGGAAGTAAGGCAACAGGCGGCACTGGCGGGGAGAGGGCTGAAGGTGGGGCTCAGATGGCCTTCCTCCTCTGCCCCTTGTCCCACAGCTCAGACAGTAGCTGACTCTTATCACCCCACAAAAGGTGCCCAGGGCAGGGCCAGATAGAGATACTCACCACCCCCTGGAGGGAGGGAGGGATGAGGCCACAGTACACAGGGATGAAAGTGCTGCACACATTGGCCTGCAGGGCAGGGACACAGACGGGGAAGTGAGCAGGGGCCTTGGGGTTCATACCCCTGCCCCACATGGCTCCACCAGGACCCACCTGGATGAGCTCATCCTTGGAGTTGAAGTGGGATATAATGACGTTCTCGCCATCTGAGACACGGGTCAGGGAGATGCCCAGACGCCCACTGGCCCGCTCATGGCAGTCAGCAGGCAGGGTCTTCAGCAGACAGCCACGGATGGTCTTCACCAGGTTGAAGGAGGGGTGCAGGGGGCCTAGGAACCGCTTCCGGGCCTCCTTAGACACTTCGATGATGTTGGCACCGGCCTCACCTGGGGCAGCAGGGCCAAGCTCAGGGTCTAGCATCTGTGGTCTTAGTAACCCCCCTTCCTCCAGTGGCTCCATGCCCAGGGTCCCAAGGCAAACAGACTCCTGGCATTCTCTGGAGAGTTCCCAGTGCCTGCAATGGAGCCTGGCCCACAGTTGGCACTTTTGCCACCTGCCACTGGGGAGAAAGAGGCAGGCCAGCACCCTGGGATGGCAGACAACACGGGCTGGCCAGCTGGGACCAGGACCTGCCCTCTGCCCAGTGTTTCCCAACTGCTGTCCCCATGAGTCATTGGGCCTGGTGTGATGTGGCATTCAGCCCAGGAGAGGGGAGAAGGCAGAGGCTCAACTCTAATCGGCCTCAACCTTAACCCACTTGGCCAGATCCAGAGAGGGGGGCCAGACCCGCAAAGCCCAGTCCAGCCCAGGGTTCACAGGCCTGCGGGCACTGGGCTGGAAGTAGGTGAGCCCATCTCCTTGGAAGGCAAAACGTGTCCCTCTTCAGCCAAGACCAAGCACACCGATGCTCTTGGAAGAGGAGAGGCTGGTCAGCGAAAAGGCAGGCCTTGGGGGAGGAGCTGAGGATCACACCTTCCTCCAGGACCATCACCCTGGTCCAGAATGGGTCAGTGCGGGGCCAGGGGCTCTCCTCAGCTGGTACCTGTCACACCGTGGGGGCTCCAGCTGCCTAAGACCACTTGTAAGAATGAGGTTTGCTGGGGGGGCAGCAGGCAGACTGAGAGGTGTGAGGCCTCCCTAACTAGAGCTGTGCTCTGCCCACTCCCACCGCTCTCAGGACAAAGGTCACGGGAGGGGGTCGAGGGAGATCCTGCTGGGCAGGGCACCCGCACCACGTTGGCTGCCCAGCAGGCTGGGGGCTGGGCCGCGGTTCCCAGCCCCGCGAGAACGAACGCTGTGTGCTGCAAACACCACTCACTCCCAGGCGGAAGCCCGAAGTGTGTGAGCGGAGGAGCCCAGCCCGGCACAGACCGCACTCCAGACACAGGGCACGGGAGTCCACAAGCACCCGCACCCCGCTGAGTGGGCACAAACGGCGGCGGTGGGCCGCGGCCGGGGCGCCAGGCCCCCCAGGCACCGTGCGCAGGAAGAGAGAGG